TAGCATGTACATTTTTGCTGTAAGGTCTACCCATTGATGTCAGCCAGCTTCTACAAGCATCATCAAAGCTGGGGGAGATGGGTATTGACCAGCTACTGACTAGAACCCAAACCATTTTGAAGAAGTCAGAGCATGTCACAGCAGCTGCACAGACAGAGGAGGCCATGTGTAAATCAGAGGAAAATGTTGCTGGTGACTGTCGCATCCCCTTGGCTCAGAAGGGCCCTAAATGCTACAAGCGTGGTGGTCCCAACCACTTCCCCGAGAGTGCAGGATTCAAAGTAATAGAGGAAGTGGGAGTCGTAGCAAACCACGTTGCTATCACTGTAACAATCTGGACCATTAGCATGGAACTGTCTGGGAAACGAGCTCGGAGGCAAGGAACCCTTGCCCCCTGTCAATCAGTAAGTACAGATTTGCCCATAGTGAGGGTACGTGTGAATGGCATGCAATGTTTGGCTCTCATTGATATGGGATGTTCTCGTTCAATAATCAGTGCAAACCACTGTCAGGCTTGGAAGAAGCAACATGTGATGATTAGGACTATTGACGGGACATCCCATGCATGCTGCAGAGTTGGAGTGATTTCAATCCTAACAGATGGAAGTGATTGTGCTGAGGTGGACACACTGGTGGTTTGTGACAAGACTCTGGGGTACGATTTGCTGATCAGAATCGATGCCATGCGTAAACTAGGCGGTGTTATGGTCATGCATACCAAGGAAGTGTAGCTTGGGAGAAATTGCAACTCATGTGCCGCAATTAGAATTGAGGAACGGGATTTCTGTATCACGTATGACAAAGGAACAAAGACTTGGACAGTGGAATGGAAGTGGACAGGAAATGAAGCATCAGATCAATTATGCAACACTGTTGTGGAATATACGGTGACAAATAAGAACAGAGCTGCCTACAAGAGCAAACTGGAGATATAGATCGCAAATGGCTGGCTGCAGAATATTCTGACAGGCAAAACCCGAGTGAAGATGAAAGCTGCAAGTGAGATGCTAGTGCACAGGAGACTGGCTAATCTACAGCAGCTAATTGAAGAATACGGTTTGGTAGTTGGCATCACACTGACTTCGTCATGGAGGAACCTGACCGATAAGTTGACTAGAGTACCAAAAAGATGGCTTGACATGTTGAAACAGGGATCAGAGCCACCAATGTGCATGGCTGTTATGAGCTTGCTGACCAATGAACAAATCCACGCCATACATAGCAAGAGCGGTCATCCTGGCGTTTGACATTCGACTTACTTTGTCCAGAAAGTATGTCTTGCAGTGACAAAATCAATGATTAGGTTGGCTGTACAAGATTGCAAGGAATGCTGTGCGATGGACCCTGCCTCAGTCCAGTGGAACAAGGGCAAGCTCGTGGTAGACAAAAACTGGTGGCAACTGGGCATGGACGTGACACATCACAATGGCAATCATTTTTTAACTTTGATGGACTGTGGCTCGACGCATTTCACTGTATGACGCCCACTGGTGCGACAAGATACATTATCGATTATACAACAATTACAAGCTATCTTCTATGAATGTGGTCCCCCTGTTGAAATATTGACAGACAATGTTCCAACTTTCTTTAGCCAAGATTTTCAGGACTTCACGGTCAAATGGGGAGTGCAAGTAAGGTACAGAGGTACATACACTCCAGAGGGTAACGGGATAACAGAGCGGTGTCACTGCACCCTTAAAAGGATAGCAGCCAGAACACGATGTTCAATTCAAGAAGCTGTGTATTGGTACAACGTCATGCCCAAAGATGATGTAACACCATCAACTGCACCGGACAATGGAATATGTATATACAGACAGCGGATAAAGGGGATAGATCAAGTAATGCCAAACATTCTGAAGAATACCAAAGAACCATATAAAATTGGTGATCTCATATGGGTCAAGTGGATGTTGTACCACTAGATTTAGTAGAGAAAAAGTTGGAGTTATTAGCTCCCAAACAGTCCGGGTCAATGATGTGCCACACCATGTGAAAAACCTTCGCCTACGACACAAGTTAACCGCCTCAGAAGAACAGTGTCGCAGTGTAGATACGTCATCTGATAGTGATTTGGAGACAACAATGTTTTGCACAATGCAGTCAGATGGTCTGTCCCCTGTATCAGAGGGTACAGATTTGGACGACAAGGAAGGTCATGATGACACCGAAAATGCCAAGGACCCACAGAACATAGACCTGGCAGTACTGCTACTGGAAGCATCCCCTCCACCTCTATGAAGTAGTGTTCATCGAAGGCATTCTCCCCCACCCTGTCATCTATGTGGTCATGAGATCAGTGGGGAGTGTAAGGAATGAGGAGACTTACCTACCGCAAAGCGAATTTGCTTGGTGTGTCAGGTGCTGTTGAAAGATCGCAACCAGCATTAAAAGAGAAATGGATTATTCTGAAATTCCCATATCGCAGACAGACGTACAAAAGAAAAAAAATAAAAAGACTAAGAATTCAAACCAGCTTGAATTTATAAAATCAGAAGTCTCAGGCGAATCGAGAAGTAAGTCGCGTATGCAAATTTTAGCTGCCCCCGACGCAGGCATAAATAGTGATTCTGGGAGGAAGATGGCAGAGCACATTGTTGGTGTGATGGCGTACATTTGTACTAATGAGACTGAGAAAATAAGAGGTCACTAGCGACAGCTCAGTTGGTAGACCAGAGGACTGGACAAAAGCAAGCACTTTAATCCATTTCAGTCATCACAAGTGATGGCGAACTGAATTACCCACACTTGGCACATAAAAAGAAAGAAAAAAGCATATTACAACTGGGGTATCAATGTGGACACCAACTTGTGACCTTAGAATACCAAGAACACATTGAAGGCTGCCATTATAGTGGGTGACTAACATGAATGTCAATCATCTGATCTTGCCATGCATTCTCTTCCAAAGCTAAATTGAGGTTGTCTTCAAAGTTGAAGGCAATTCTATTAAATAACCTTTTTCTGTTCTTCTAAGTTGAACTTGTCCACAATCATTTATATATATATATATATATATATATATATATATATATATATATATATATATATATATATATATATATTCTATTGAATATCTTTATTTTTATAATTTGCTTTTAATTACCTCATGGATGTAAAACACAGTGCATAGGTACTCTAACCCTATATAGAAGTGCCAATCTATACATAAATAATTGTCTCTTTTTCTATGGCTACTGTGCTAGTTCCAAATATATTTGAAGTGAAGATCAGTGACTGGAATTTTATGAGAAAAAAATGCTGGATAAATTAATAATCTCTTATGCTTTAATTTTTCTTGTAAAAACCAAAAAATTGAGCAATAATTAGAAGTGTTTAAATGTAATAAAATCAAGACCTTGGTAAAACTACTTGGCTAAAGATTTAGGATAGATCTGTTTCCTAAGATGAAAGTTATTGTGATAATTCTAAAACCACCTTAAATTTTGTTTTATAAATAATGAAATGGTTATCAACAAATTATTTTTTATGTAACAATTATCACAGACTTATGCTTTCGTTTTTCTTTCAGATGGCCGATGCAATGGAGATGATGATTTTAAGTATCCTTGCCCCGGCTTTGCATTGTAGCTGGAATCTCAGTGGAATAAAGCAAGCTTTATTGACCACGGTAAATACTTTGTACTTTTCCAGAAATCTAAGATGTTTTTGTAAATAATGAATTTTTAAAACACAAAGAAAACAATATTTGAAAGATTTTATTTTTAATGTTCATTATTTTTCTGATATTTTTTAAATTTTGTTTTGCTGTTATTAATGATTTGTTTGTATATCTTTACTTAAATTAATGGAAAGTTTGCTTGAACAATAAAATCATTATATATCAATATTAATAATAAAAGAATTTTATTTGTGTATTTGATTAACTTATAAATTTATTGGTTTATAAACATCAAAGTAAATTGTAAATATTCAAACAGTTCAATTAGAGTTGAATTTTCTTGCAAAATAAATTTTCTTTTGATTTCAATTTCATTATTCTGATCATATACAATTATTAAATATTAATTTGGAACAAGTATTTTTAATTCATTTTACAAAGATTGTAATTCTATTTTCTATTGTTTGTTTAAATCTGTGATTACTCTATAAGAATAAGCTCTCTAGAACTGCCATTTTAAAAAATAACTTTCCTGTATTTATTAACTGCTACACAACTAGATTGTGTATTTTCTTTTGTATTTCAGAAATTTACAGTAATTTAGTTCTATACTTGCTATTTGAGACATAAGACACATATTTGAACACTAGAAATTTTAATCTTATCAAAATGGTCACTGAATATGTCACTTAGATGTAATCAAATACATTGAATGACTATGACTACTGCTACACACATTAATCCAAAAAATAAAAGCAGTCAAGTAAGAATGATGTGTATACTAAAATGAAAAAGGTGTGCAGCAGCAATAAAAAAAGTACTCATAATAATAAGTGGTATGTTTTCTGATTTTATCATATAGAGGAGGGTATATAGTATATTAGCTGCTTTGCACTGAAATTGAACTCTGGTCTTCTGAAAGCTATTTTTTCTATTGGTTGAGGCAGTTTACGTTCACATGGTGTATTTGCAGATGTTCTGTACTCGTATATAGTAGGATATTTTACTGTGGGATGCAAAGATTCTGTTGCTAACAAGAATGCAAAACAATCTTCACAAAGACCTTTGGACTTTAGAGAAGAAACACAAAAATAGCAACAAGGATGAGAATCGTTTTAATTCATACAATATAACTGCTAAAAAGTCAAACATGTAAATTAGACAAGAGTGCTGTAAGCATTCATAAAACAATTATTGACAAACACAGAGTGAACACATGAAATATAGGATTTTTGTATTTTTTCTGATCCACTTCTGAGCAATTTATTCAATACACTTTTGGCTTACTCAGGCCATCAGCAGTAAATTTTGGGAATTTATATGCACTGACATCAGCTTGAAACTGTTGGAATGAAGCCAAACCTGACATCCAACTGACACATGGAACACCATTCCTGGTTTGAATTCAAAATTGTCCTTCTCATAGACTGGTTACCAATCAAAGCTGTAGACAGACAAGTCTACCCTACTATTTTGCTTACAGCTAGGAGAAGATAAATGCTGGATCCATGACTTTCCTAATGACATCATGCAAAGTGAGAGAATTTGAACTCTGTTCACTGATTCCATTTTGGTGACTGTCAATCTTTAAGCCACTTGTATCTCATTTAAAATATAGTTACTGGGGTGACTCATTTAAATATGAACTCACAAAGACTATAAATAGCTACAGCTATTACCCATGAGGTAGTTAGGTGCATACTACTTCCCATGAGTCAGTAACACTACAATAGCATTGCCGATATCTAAAGAACTGAATGAACAATAATCACTGTATAATTATGAATACATACAAGCATGGCATAGGATACTAGCAACTAAAGCTAGAACAAAAAAGATAAAGGATTTAAAATTAGTTGGAGGAGAAAACCAAATGATTGACCTCTTCTTGGCAACTGCTGGTTGTGAAGCCATTATAAAATTATCAGCAATTTCACACCCGAGACAGTTGGAGGAAATGATATTTGACAATATAAGTCAACTAATAGTGACAAACATAGCACCCAAGAAAAAACTATTGAATGAAGAGAGAGCTAAGTTCATGAATATTTCTCAGAAAGGGAATAAACCAGTTATTGAATATGTTCTTCATTTAAAACAGGCCACTAAATATTGTGAATTTGAGAAACTGGAATTGTAAAAACCATTCAATTGAAGAGGATTTGATTTGAATGAAATTGGTAAATTGCCTTCAAAATGAGGAATATTGACAAATGGCTATAATGCATTTATAACTGGAAAAGTTGTCACTAGAACAGTGTGTGGAATAATTCAAAAACTTAATAGAACAAAAGTTATGGATCTGGACACATACGTGGTAAAGAAAAAAATAAAATAAAATAACATGTACTTTTTGTGGATATCAGCAACATAGAGAAAAACAAAAATGTCCAGCATATAAAAAAAATGTGAAAAGTTTCAAAATGAATCTTTTTAATCACGTGTAAATCCAAAAAGAAAAATGTAGAGATGGCCCAACAAAATGGAGAGGAAATAATTATAGATGTCTTTTCATTAAAAAAAAAAAATATGTAAAAGGGTTAGTAAAAATTTGAATCAATAATGTTTTATTGGACATGCAACTAGATAGAGGAACTGACGTGACATTGATAACCAGAAATTTCTGGGAGAAATTAGGAAAACCAAGATTAAAGAAAAGCCTTGTCCAATTGAATCACTTTGATGGATCTGTGATAAAAATTTTAGACTATTTGAAGCTTATGTGGAACAAAAATTAAGTTTGACGTATTACCAATTATCATGGCAAATGGTGAAAAGAATCATGCTCTAATAAGAAATGATGTATTTAACATAAATTCAACAAAATTAGTAAACAAAGTCAAGGCAGAAGAAACTGGAATGTTAAAAATCTATGAAGCAAAGTTAAGACTAAATGAAAATGTCTCCCTCTCATATTTTGAAGCATGAAAGTACCAGTCCATCTACTACCAATAGTTGTGAAAAAACTAAAAAAATTACTGGAACAAGATCTACTCAAATGAGTTCTGCCAGGAAGAAGCAAATTGGCCTCCCCATTAGTAATTTTAAGAAAGAAGGATGTGGATCTGTGCATTTGTGGTGAATACAAAATAGGTGTAAACAACAAAATATATGCAGACTCATATCCTATCCCCAATATAAAATGGGCTTTGAACTCCCTTGTGGGTATGAAGACATTCTCTAAAATTGATCTAAAGTCAGCATACCATCAAATACCTATTGATGAAGACTTTAAAGAAGTCACAACAATAAACATGCCAATAGGCTTAAGATGGTAAAGAATGCCATATGGAATTAAAATCACAAGTACCAATTTTTTTTTTTTTTTTTCAAAGGTCTATAGAGCAAGTCATTGGTAGCAATATAAAAAATACATTATGCTATCAGGATGACATTTGTGTTGGTGCTGTTAATGATGAAGAATTAAAATGGAAAAGGATTAACAATTAATGAAAAAAATATCATTTTTGGAATATTCTATATCTAATGAAGGTATCAGAGCAATTGTTAATTGACAAAATATTAAAAGTTAAAATACCTAAGAACAAAAAAGAATTGGAATCTTTCTTAGATCTTGTACATTTCTACAGACGATATGTAGAGTGATAATCCGACTGTATTTTTGTTAAATTTATGCTAATTTATTCATTTCTGTTGTTTTAATTTTTTGCCACATTTTCATTTCTGTATTCTTTAGCCTTCCTTGGATGTCTGTTGTATTTTGAAATGTTGAACCTTACCTTACCAAACATGTACCTTCTTGGAACTGTCCTCCCCTAACTGATACTTTGATCTTTGAACTTTCTAGTAAATTAGGTAAATTTCACTGACACTCCCATATTTTTAGTCATATTTCTGAAACCTTAAATTCATGTGTTATTATGTTGGTGTCTTACATTGACATAGTCAATGGAAATTCTGTTCCTGAATTATAGTGTCAATGACACTCCTCACAACTCAAGAACATTTTTGAAAATCTTTGCAGGATAAATGATGGCAGTTTTCTGGAGTTCTACAGTTTTGGTCCCAATTCCAATTTTACCTAAGCACTCTTTCAATTTTCTAAGTGTACCCGTTACTACAGGGGTTACTTCAACAATTTTGTTTCATAGATTTTTCAACTCCCTAGCCAGATACTGGTATTTTTCAATCTTTTCAGTTTCCCTGGAATTCAATCTTGTATCATATGGAACAGCTGGTATTCATACCATTTCTCTTTCATATTGAAACCAAATTTTTTAACATACTTCTCAATGGATGCACATACCAATCCAATCAGTATTACTTAGACTCTTTCTGTGACAACATGAAATATTCACTGATTCTTATTTTTGTTTTTAATTTCTTCTTGATCTGCATTTGTTTTATAATCACATAACAAGTCATAACCTTTGACTTGGGGTAAACGAAAGATGGGATTTTTTATTGTTTCCACTTAATTAAACAAAAGACAGTTATTAACAAAAAGCTTAGACAGACAAAACTCTTCACTTGTCAGAATTGTATCTTGGATCTCCCAGAAAGATTGTGTGTGAGAGATTTTGTCAATTTGTTCTTGAGTTTCTTTCTTTATCAGAACCAAAGAAACAGGAACAGTTTTAAACTCCATATTTTTTCTATTTCCATCTCCAGGTCTTTGCATTTACTTAGGTTTTTTTTTTTAAAAAAAACTTTGTAGAGATGTTTTTGTTACTTGGAATGTTCATATCAATCAGATTACTATTATTATTATTGGCTCTCTTATGCTATAGATATCTATGATTGGTCTGCTGAATTAGAACTTCCAAAAAACATTACATAAGAAATAAGAATGCTGGAAGATCGCAGGCTCATTAAATAGGTCAAGGATGGATAATTCTAAAGATTCCCAGATACAGATTCTGGTGCATGATATGTGGAGTGTATGATCCTTCAACATCATTCAAAACAGATATTAGAGGAAGTGCAGTTTTGAGATTAAAAAAAAACAGAAAAATTAGTCTGAATGAAACAAAATACAATTGCTGCTC